AGTAAATTTGTTGTTGGGTGTGAAGATGCCGAAGCCTGGTCCATCTAACGACAATCGCAAGGCCAGACGAGCCTCTTTGCAAAAGATCAAAGAAGAACGAGAGAAGTTAGAAGAAGAGAAGAGGCAGTTTTCACTGGCCAGTCAAAATGTCTCACAGAACAGTGAGGAGTTGGAAGCTGCAAAAGCTGCAGCGCAGTGGGCCAAGGATCAAGAGATGTGGGCCAAGGAGCAGGCAAACGCTTCCTACTGGAAGATGAGAGAGTCTGAGCAAGTGGCAGAAGATGCAAATCAAGCTCTGCAGAAGGCTGAGTGGCGGTTCAATGAGCAATTGAACTGGGCAAGAGATGCAGAGAAAAAGGCAAAAGAACGAGCAAAGGATTCCTACTGGAAGATGATAGAGATGAAGCAAAGTGCAGAAGATCTGCAGAAATTTTCACAGAGGGTTCAGTGGCAGTATAAGGAAACTGCCAAGGAGCTTGCGATCAAGGTGGGCCAGGTAGACACTGAGTCAAAGGCCAAGGAGAAGCTAAAGGAAGAACTTCGCAAGCAAACGCAGGCAGGATGAGCAACTCCAGTTTGTTTCAATTTCTGATTTGTATGCACTGTTTGTCAGGAATCTGAAATCTGGATGGATGCGTTCTTTGCAAGCGAGGGTGGTGCATCCTCTTCCAGGTCCTGGGGCCAAGTTGCTTTTTGATGTAGTCAAACCCAACCTCCTGTAGCCAAAGCCAGTACAGTAACTGCCAGGAAGCAACCTCCAGTGGCATCTGAGAAGTCTGAGAAACAGAAAAAGAAGAAGAGGCATGTTGTGTTGGGTGGCTGCATTACTGTTGCTGTTCTTGTTGTTGTTGTTTTTCTGGGATTTAGCTAGGACTTTGCTGTCAGGAAGCGCAGTGCTGAAGATGATGGAGATGTGCGACCTTCATCCAGCAAGGGAAGGCATGGTGATTTTTGTTTTTTCTGTTCACTTGTGTTGTTGACAGTGAGATGTTTGTTTATTTGTGTTGTTGGCGCTGTGTCAGGTGAATCCTGCAACTTGCTTCGGCATCCTGTGTAAAAAAGGGCTGCTGATTGTGTCAGCATGAAAGCAGTTGCAGTTCTCACACATTGCAATAGTGCCCAAATGTTGTAGAAGCAGCTGGGTTGCTTGGAGTCTTGATTTCTGAGGTGCCAAGGCTGGCCCTGATGTGTAAGTGTGTTTGTTGTTTGATTGGTAGCAGCTGTAGTTATTGTAACTTATGCCTGCAGTTCTTCCATGAAAAATGATGCATGCCAGGCTGGAAAGCCATCTGATTGACAAGCTGCTGGAGACATTTTCCATTGCTACGATGTATAGTAGTGATGGAGGGCAAATGTCAGCTAGGGGCCATCAAGTCAACGCTGGAGTTCCAAGCGTTAGCCCAGTTTCTGGAAGTACAGAAGCTGGTGAACAAAAGAAAAGTAAGCAAAGTGACTCACTCCTGGAATTACTCGACCCAGATGGGCAAACTTTGCCTTGTCAAGGGGTCATGCCAGGATGGATCATTGTGGGCAACACTCTGCAATTGGTCCAAAAAAAATAATCAATGTGAATTGTGCTTCAGCTTATTGGGGCTGTGGGGGCCATCAACCCATGCTTCATGCCAGGTTATGCCAGGCTGGAACTATAGGAAATCCTCAGGGGCCACCATCAACCCATATCTTTGTGCCAGGCTAGGGTGGATAATAACCAAATCCTAGTGTTCAGTGTGCCAAAGCTGGAAACTAGACTCTAGTGACTCTAGTGTGCACTTTGCAGCGCATTCCTCTTTTTCAAGAGGCTCTATGTTTATTAAGTTAGGCTACTCTAAATCTTAATGATGATGACCTGCATTTAGCACCTTTCGGCGCATTCCTCTTTTGCAAGAGGTCCTATTTTACTAAGAAAAAACTACATCCCCCCATCCCCTTTCTGACCATCCTATCACCATCCAATCCCTCACTCCACAAACAGGAATGAAAACTCCAAATAGAAATGAAAACATCAACTAACAGTGAGATGGCTTACTCTTATAGGGCAACGTTCTGGCACTGTTTCGGTCGATGAGTTCACGTGCATTGGAGACCCAAATCTGCGAGCTGGGGCCTCCAGTGTGCTGGTGCACATCTTGCTGGATCGGGGCCATGGCGTTTGGGGTCATGACACCCTTAAACCCTGATCAAAACATATCAAAACCATCACACTTGAACAGAACGACATGCTCTAAGGGCTATAGGATGTTCGACCATTAGAAGAGGCCATTGGGCTGAGTTGGGTGGGCAGCTTTTTTTAACGGAAAAAAACAACAAAAACAACACACAGACATCGTCTCTCCGCCCGACGGTCGGTCCACCGTCCGCACTGCTCCGCCACCGTCCACGCGGCGAAAGCGACGTCCGCGCCTGTGAGGACGACGCAGACAGTGAAGATGCGCTCCACACCGTTGCTGGCCGAGACCTACGCGAGGTCTCGGAGCGCGGGCGGTGGAGTGGTGGGCGGAGTGGTGGCGAGGGGAAATGTGCGGGCAAGTGGTGGGCAGTGGTGGTAAACAACCATGAAGAAACTATATATGGTGACCGGGGAGTGATGTTCGTTCTTCGTGGTGCCCTTTGCATTCTGGACGGCAGCCCACATCAAATCAGATCAGCGCGTGGCGCGTCGTCTCCACCGTGGCTCCCTTCGCACCTCCATGGCCGCCGGGGTGAACTGCGTCAAGGCCCAATGGAGCGAAGTGCTGTACCTCGGGCGGAGCGGGCGGCGGAGACCAGGCCACTCGATTCGATGCGAGAGACGAAGTCTCCGGGTGCTCCCAAAAAATTAAGAAAAACACCAGGGTGAGGAAGCCAACTTCCGCAGGTCTAAGAGCATATGCATGAGAGCGCGTATGTGAGCCACTATATATGAGAGCACGCACGTACACAGGATGACAGCACAGATGAGAGAGAGAGAGAGGGAGCACATTTCAGAAGACACGTATGAGAGCACACGCTTGAGAGCACAAATCCGCCCGCACTGAAGGTGCTGAGGCGTTGTCTCAGCTCGCGTAAGCCACTAGAATTGCTACATAGCCCATCAAGCTTTAGCTTGGGGGTAATGAAAGGCGATGTCGGCTATGCTGCCCGAGTGCAAATGCATTACTGACATCGTGTGTGCTTGCCGCTGTGGCCTTCCCGAAAGATAAATTAGAAAGCATTAATAATGTTAGTTATGCTGCCTGAATGGAACTGCATCGTTGAAAGCGTGTGCGTGTTTGTCCCCGCAGATGTCCTTATTGTGCAACACGCCTAAGATAGGTACCAGCATAGTCAAGATCATGTCGATATCTAAGACGGAACGTTGGGTCATAGGGGGACGCATCAATCACCAAGTTGCTGTCGTGGGGTGTTTTTGGTCAAAAGACTATGTTTTTTGTTAAAAGACTTCTTCTGACCCTTTGCGATCTTTCCCGGCTCAAAGAGCACACGTATCCGTGCGGGGGTCTTCGCCACGAAGCGGCGTGAATATGAAGGAAAACGCGCGAGAGCAAACATACAAGAGCGTACAAATGTGAGCAAACACATGAGAGAACACAAATATCGGAGCACACCCCTATACACCCCCTATAGGCATGAGAGCGCGCATCTCGGCACTAAAAAAACTGTGGCGGGCAGTGTCCATAATATCTTCGATATCTTCATGAACTGACCACACATGGCCGTCATCACGGAACCACCCTGCGCCACGGCAGTCTCGGAACCGGAACCTGAACCTCGTCTTCTTCGATCCAGAACCGGCCCAGGTGCATATACATGAGATCGGTGGGAAGGCCCAGCTCATCTCCTCAGCATCGAGCGAGAGATCGAAGAAGGTGCGAACCGATGCGAGCGATCTCCTCCCAATTGGGAGGGTTCTTTGTTGGCTCTTTGTTGAAGAAATGGAATTTGAGAAAGCCATTTTTGCTCGGACATGTTGGATTTCAAAAAGATGTGGATCAAAAGAAGCCGACTCAGCTACGAGTGTCCCCCAAAAGAACCACTGCTTAGCTTCGATTGATTCAGGTCACCGTACGGAGTTCCGAAAAAGCGTATTTACTGCGGGCCAAGTGTCTGGTTCCTGCGTGCAGGGTGATCCATGAGGTCTGTCCCGGCAATTCCTGTTCCGTGCGTCCCAAAGCGTACCAGGCACAACCGCAGAAGTGGCACATCAAAGCGATGATGGCCTCAGATCCGTGAGACCGGTGACTGCGCCGTTCTCTTTGTTTGCCTCACAAAAAATAGGAGTAAACAACTCCGGACTGGTAATAGGTGAATAAATAGTTTTCAGATTTTCCATGGGATGTTCTATTGAGTCGGTTCTAACAACTGGGCACTGGACGTGCATGTCGTCCCGAGTGTGGAACTTCAACATGTCACAAAGCATACGACTCGCGGATTAAAAAACAACATCAGCTGATATCAGCTGTCATGTTCCGCAGGGAGTTCACATTAGAAATGGTTGGAAGTGAACGAGCAATGACAACACAAATAAAACATTGAAACCTGAAAACGCCTCGGGAATTGTCCATAAAGTTGCTGCCACAGATTTTTGTAGACGCAAGCTACAAATTTCATCCCTATATATTATAGAAACTTCATGAAACTTCCAGACTGCAAGTCGACCAAATCATCAAAGTCTTTGTCATTGTCTGCTTCTTTGGGGAATCGACCAAGACATGCCGCCGCTGGTGTCGGCCCCAGCCGTCGGCATCACATCATCGAACGCGCACGCCTTCTCTCGGACCCCATCGCGCTGTCGGCCGTGCTTGACCGGACGCCGAAAGGCCAAGTGCTTCATCATTCCCAGGGTGGTCTCCACATAGACCTCGCGAGGAGAGAGCGCGAGAGACTAGCGCGAGTCGGCGTGGCGTGGGAGGCGCATTGAGAAAGAGACGAGAGACAGGTTCGTTCTCGAAAAATAAGAAAGACCTGCAGAGTCTATTGCTGGGATGCGCGAAGCCTGTGCTGTTCTGACCTTCGACCATGTCTCAGCGCCCAATTCTGTGAGAAATCAGCTTGTGCACTCTGAAATCAGGGGCAAACCTTTGAAAGTTCTTAATTCTGCCACTCCAAGTGTCGGATGCCCACTCCATGATTTCGAAAGTTTCCAAATGCTCCTTCAGCACGCCGGCGCGACCCACCATCCGCACCAGCCGCAAGAGCCGCAGGTTTCGGAAGAGACGAAGCAAGGTGAAGGACTCCATGTTGCTGCTTTCCGTGCTGAAGAAGGAGACCATGTCCAACGAGATCAGCGCCACGTCCGGCAAAAACCAGCCGGTGAGGTAGCCTGAGATCAAGATCGAAAGCTCGTGTGGGCCGCCAACGAAACAAGGACCACGTGTTTGATGTAAAAGTGCATTTCGAAAATAAAGGAATGGTAAACAAACATCTGTTCAACAAATCTGCAGAATCAACCAAAATGCATTGCATTTCTTCCGAACCGGTTTCTCTCGTTTCTTCACACCCTGCGGAACCGGTGCATCTCGCGATTCTGTTCCACCGCCCCAAGGGACGGCGTGCAATGGGCCGCATGCGCATCTCCACGAAGCCTATCAGTGGGGCACGGCCGTCCAAACAAACGGAATGAGATGGATGGATTTGATCGTTTGAGCTGAAAAAAGAACTTCAAGAACCCTAAACGTTTACGTTTCTTACTCTCTTCCAACATGACACTTGCGGTCTACAGCGGATCGGATTGACACGTCCATTTTGCCTGGCAGGTACAGCACGGTCAGATTTCCACACCCGTTTAAATTGATAATGCTTATAAGGCTTTCGGCTTTCAGGTGTGGAAATCTGACCGCAACTTAGGTGTCGACATGTTGCATGATTCTAAGGGGAAAGGGTTTGTCCCGTTTTAGAAGTCAAGAAGCTTAACTTTCGGCACCCCAGTGTATGTACGTTTACATACAAACTCTGCAGACAAACATGTCTATCAATAATCAGACCAAACTACCAGACCAAACGAATTACAATACCACATGTGATGTGCAAATTCCTCCTCGGTGTTACCCGATGGGTCGAGGACACCGGGTCGCGGACACCGGGTCTCCCATCGTTTCGTTCCATCCGGACCTGTCCGGGCATTGATGAAGCCGCGAAAGAAGGAGATGTTCATATCTAAACACCAAACCACAGCGCTCACCAATGCGAAGCCGTAGACGGCTCCCGTCTGTTGGACATCAAAGGCCGTGAGCAAGGGGATCATCACCTCGGTGTTTCGGGTCGAGACGGACAGGATCGAAGATGAGGTCGTTGGGGATGCGCCGTGCGTTTGGGTCAAGTGGAAACGCTATACGCTATACGCTATGGTGCCTCAATACGGTAGCCATAGCACAGTTGACAAGATATCAAAACCTTGCCGTGAGACCCATCCTCTTCATTCCTCTTCTATATAGTAGACTGTTGTTACATGGTGGTTCTATTACCAAAACATCGTTGAATCAGACTCTGTACATCCTTCCCTTCATCAGAAAAGGGCCCGATATCCGACGGTCCGATGCCAAGTCGTCTGACGACGTCAGATCGAAGCCGGATTAGAAGATCCTGGTGACATGGCCGGTTTGTTTGTCTAAGAACACAAGTTTGTCTTTAAAAGAATGCATCAAATCTGCTAATTAGATTTAATTAGTGTATGGGTGGACTTGGCTGAAAGGAATGTCGCTCCTGCCTGTATGTGATCCGATGTGCAGATTGTATAGGAACCAGGTGGAAACGTGCGGAAAAAATCGTCGGATGGTTGCAGGCAGGCGGCACTGTCGTGCAACATCATGATCCCACAGATGATATCCCATAGAACGCACAGAAAGCTATCTGGCCTCAACGCACAAATCCGTCATGCTGGAAGTGATGTGAGAACATCCAATACTCATCATCTTCAGAAACTCTGGAGAACTTGATCACAATCTGTCTATCAATCTATCAGCCAAGTTTCAAACCAAAAGACATAAGCAATATAGGTATTAGGATGTATATGCTAACGGCTCTAAAACCGTACGTGCGTTTTTGCGTTTTTTGCTTTTTGGATGTTTTGTGCACTTTCCCATATATATGTATGCGTCTATGTTGCATCTTGACGTTGCGTTTCACACATATAGGTTAACGTTGCACACTGGGTTGGATGCTACGTTGTGCTATGCTGGTGACGTTGCACGGGGTGGGGGGTGAAAGAGTGACTAGGGCGTACACGGTTGAGGTGCAGACCGCTAGTGTCTTTTATGCGCAGAGTCTTATCCTCTTGAGCCTTATGGCAGTCAAGTATGGACACACTAGATAGGCCACTGGAGTGGAACCTGTACAAGTAGGCCTCTACATTTCAGCAGGCACAAAATTCATGTCCACTCCTGCCTATTGCGTATGTCGCACACTATTTTTCTACCGTAAGGCTAAAACAGTCCAGCAAGCTCTAGTTAACCACGGTGCCCTGTACTTACCAATTCCAGCGTGTTGCACACTTTAGAAAAGGTAATCTCTAGGTATACTAAATACAGTGAGGGAGCAATAGCTGACTCACATCAAATACAAAGTCAAAGACAATGTATCTCGGCTGGAGACTGTATCGTTCACCGGCGAAGATACCATGTACCGGCGCTCAATAGCCCTTAAATAGCCAGAGCTTCAAAGAAACTTAAATTCAAAGGAAAGCGGCTTTCTTGCACAGAGACCTGTAAAAGCAGTAAACGACACTCGCGTAACGAAGAACTAAAATTTCAAGACCGCACAAAATGCAATGAATTAAGATGCCTTGCAAAATGCAAGGAGCGTCAACTCTCGGTCCGAGGAATGGTCTTCTCGAAAAGTGGTCTCGGCCGCTTCCATACACAGGACTTACATAAAATTAAACTGCGTCAAAAGGACTCTCTCTCATTGACATCAAAAACAAAAAGGAAGGAGACACCGGCAAATGTATGTACAAAACTTGCACTACAAATGCAAACTTATGAAATGACTTAATCGTCAACCATAAATGGTTGTCCATTAGAGGTCACTTCAAAAGAGCGGCTGTGGTAGTTATCATCAGTTCTGAAAAACTGTCCATACCTACCTGCAGATAATAACCGTAAACTGTATTTATCTGCATGCTAAAGCGTATAAACCTGGAATGCAGGAGTATCTTCTTTGACAAAAAGTTTCTCCTTGTTGCAAACCAGAATTCATCAAAACTTCAGCCTGGCAACTTAAAGTCAAGCCTGGAAGCAAAGTATCAACTGTGATCAGAAGTATCTTCACTTCCTAGCTATCATTAAAAGTTAGCCTCCGCTCTGAGTTTTATGCCGCTGCAGTCGATGGAGCTGCTTGATCAGAAGTTGGCGGCCTTCCTTTCCTTTTTTTCTCCTTCTGTCTCTCCTTCCTCCGCAAGTTAGCATCTCGAAGAGTCTCGCCCGAGCGATAAAGTCTTCTGTCTCCAGATGAAAAGGAAGCTGGTCTGAGTGAAATAAACATTGGACCATGACTGTCATCGTCAGAGGGTCTGGAGCACATAACCTCCGTGTCAATCAGAGCAAAGTTCTCTGAAAAATTACAGATGAACTCCTTCGTGCTCACTGTGGAATTTGTATATTCTTCTTCACTCATTGAATGACCCCATTCAACAATGGTAGACAAACAAGTATCGCCAAGCTTTGATCCCTGGTATATTTCTTTGTCTTCTGTAGAGTATTCCTCCCAGAGTTTCTCAAAGTAAGCTTCACACTGCTTAAGTGCTTTTACACGGGCTTCTGAAAACCTGCGAATCCAATGCTGCATGGTGCTGTAATAATAGTTAGCCATTGGCTGTCTTTTGTACCCAGACATTCTGTAGGCCAAACTATTTGCATCACCAGAAATGATGTCCACCTCATATACAAAACATTCATAAAGCATCAATGCTGTCTGTTCTCCTGTCAATAGGTGGGCATCTACAGCACGGTGTGTGTCAACATGATAACTACAGACTCTGATAGTATGCATGTTCGCTCGAGTAAGTGGAACACGCCGGTCTGTAGGACCATAGTCCTCAAATTCATAGTCTGCATCCTTGAAGTCCTGACGAGGCCTTGTTTCTCCAAAACAAATCTCATAGATAGCCCAAGTTACATCACGCTGTTGACAGTGACCAAGGTCTTGGTCATGTCCAGCAATGATCTTGATATAGCCATCTGGTGCCAATCTAGCCATCACTGCAAGATTCTCCCAATCATTGAAACAAACTGTCCAATTCTTTTGCTCAATGAATTCCTTGGCAGGAACAAGGAGCTGAGCTTCCTGGAGAATCACGACATGTGCACGTAAAAAGAAGAGCATGTTGAAGAAAAGGTTATTTTCAAATTGCTCATATTGAAGTGACATGGCACTCTGCTTGCGTGGCTTCATTGCACGATCAAGTCCTTGGAGAAACTTTGGTGTGGTGTATTTCTGACCACGAACCATGTTTCCATAGTTCCAGGATAAAATGTCAAGGACTCTGAGCTGGCCAATAAATTAGTTCCATATTGTTCTTCTATTCTTCCTTTGAGGAACCTTTGGCACAGCTCTTCATAGAAGGTGACAAAGTCCCAACTGGGTCCCTTGGGACCATACTCTTCCAGTTCTTCTCTAAGTTTATTCTTTGTATCCTCCAAATCTGCTCGAGCTTGTTCTGCCCTTTCAAGGGTCTTTGGATCGACCTGATACTTGTCATCCAAATAAACGATGCGATCATCATTGATGAAAAATCTCTTCAGGTCATGCTCGCGGCTGTTCTCATAACAATCAGGTGGAGGTACTGGACAGACCTTTCGAATGGATCGAACAAAATCGTTCTCGATGATCCTTGACTGATAGTGAGGATGGGAAAGCTCACCTTTTCTGAAACAAACATGGTTCAACAATCTCGCGTGAGTTTCCCTGAAGCATTGTTGATAAAAGCCAAGACCTGGTTCTCCTGTAATCTCTCCTAGCAACCTCAAAGGTGAGGTATGCAACTCATAGGTATTGTCAGCATCCACAGGATCCTTATCAGCAACTACTTCAGATGGAAAAGATTCTTGGATTTCAGCCTCCAATTTCTTCTCTCCATCATCCTCTCTGACCTCTCTTATCTTCTCCACCGCCTTCTTCTTCTCCTCAAGAGTTGCATCATCCTGAACTTCTTC